ACTTGGCATTGCTAAGGCTATCTATTGGTTCCACCTCTCTATCTGATGTGGACATTTCTAGGTCTTCTGTGTCTGTGCTTGTGGCTTCTGTATTAAGGTCCTTTTCTTGTTCTTCTGTGTTTTTGCTAATATATGAGTTGTCTTTGCTGAATTCTGTTGTTGTAGATGTATTTGGGTTTTGAGCTCCTGCCTGTTCTCTTAATTTTTTTGCTTCCTTAAGCATTCTTCTAGCTCCGATTGAGGCTTTAAGTTCTGTGCAATCTTTTTTAATATGCCCTTCTCTTTCACAATAGAAGCAAATTTTTGGTGCTTCCTTTCAGTCAATGGTGACCTTATGGTTATTAATATGTGTACTTCTTGGAATTCTTGTGGACAGCTCTGGGTCATCTGTAGTCTCGAAAGTGATTAGCCATTGGTCTGAACAAACTGTTGTTCTTTCAAAAAATAATGGTTTAATTGAAGCTATTTGTCCAATATATTGAAAAGCTTTTAGAACCTCATTGCTAATTGATTATATATCTCCTATTGGCATGTTTTAAAACTTTACAGTCAAAAAGGATCAGTTCAAGTTTACTGGGATGTGTCCTAGTAGGGTCTGTTTAAAAAGCACAATTCCTTCTGCAGCATAAATTTTACTTTCTCTTTGTTCTTGAACACCACTTCAAGTGATGTTCTTCTGCCTTTAGTCATATGAATTTTGGCTTCAATAAGGTCTTTACCCAAACTTGAAGCAAGAGCTGAAATTATATTATTGTTGAAGATATTGCTTAAGCTTTATATATTGATAATTAGAGCATTTTTATTCTTAGAGTATATTTTCTGTCTAGGTGAGTGATTTGCAAAGGTGGCTTTACCACCTTTTAGTTTAGAAAACAGATCAGATCACTGCTTTGGCCTTACCCCTTTATTGTTGGGTTCTACTTTGTTTGTTCTTGTGTAGCTATAAGCTGTTGTGTTTGTAAGTTCAGTTCCTGCATCACTGTGTATCTTCTTGTTTATTCCTATTACATATGCTTGATTTCTGTCTTCCAACATGTGATGCACATGTTTTTGGTTGTTGTTGCCTGTCATGTTTTATACATGTTTTTTGTCTTCTTCAACTTTTTGTTGTTTGTTGTTTTCTGAAGCATATGTTACCTTTTGGTTGTTGTTTGCATCTAGTTGACCTTTAGTTGTTCTAGTTTGGTTATCTTGGTTAAAGTGTGTTTCTGCCTTTTCTGAAAAGCTTTGAATTTTTTTTTTGGCTTCTAGCTCCTCCTCTACATGAGAAGCCTAGTTTGTAGGAGCTTCTTCTATTGCTAAGCTAGTAAAGGCTTCAGTTCTGTTTTTGACTCTTGGAATGTTGTTTACTTTTGTTGCTACGAAGTTTCCTTTATTTTTTTTGTTTTCTTCATTTTCAGTGAAGCTAAAGGTTCTTTCTTTGACTATATTGAGTCTGACTTTCTTGTGTTGTAACTTGTTCATATTTACAAATAGTTTGTGCTTTTTTAGAGTAAAAGTCTTTACTCCACTTGAGTTTTGAAAAGTAACTTCTAGTTTTTGTAACAAAATTTTGTATTTGCTATATTTCTGATAGTAAACTGGAGAGAGTTTTTTTTTCTATTAAAATTTATAATGTTTTTTATAGTGCTTATATATAAAAGTATTTTTTTATTAAGTAATTCTTTCTTGTTGCTTAATTGAAAGTTGTAAAGCTAAATCTTGTAATAAAATTATCAAAATCAGTTGAATAAATCATAAGATATAAGTATTTTTCAATTATTTACTATAGAGTTTTTTCTTAAAAATTGAAACACATAGCATTCTACTTACTATATAAAATAACTAGGCACATGCCTACTGATTTTTACTATAAAATTTGTATCTTTTAACTATGGACTACTAATTAAATATATTTATTTTAAATTAATATCAGTATATAAAAGTTTACTAGATATTTATTTACTTTATTAAATTATAAAACTATATAAATGATCTAGGTCACAGATAAACTAGTCTGAGCTTAAAAATAAATTTATGCTTTATGTAAAAATTTCAAATAAATATTCAATAAAGATAAAAGCATGGCCTCACCATTAATATTAAAAAAAATAAAATAAAACTATATAAATAGGTTTATTTATTCAACCATCAAACTCTTCTTGCTAATCTTTAATTTCAAAACAAGAGCAGAAAACAAAACCTAAAATATGACCAAAACAGAATAGTAAAAAGTTTTTGGGCCTTTAAGAAAAAAAAGTTTATATTCAAGATTATATAAACTACAATAAAAGTGTAACAGTAAAATATATCTCTTACAAACTAAACTTGCTTTAAGGCAAAATTTTCTTTTTTTTAGTGTAAATCTTAAAAGTTTGGAAAATTACAATTGATCCTAAAAAACAGAAAAAAAACACATAACTAGCCAAACAACAACAAACAACAAACAACAAAAAGTTACATTCTCAATTAGGAAGTAAACAGATATATTAGTAGATATTATTATAATACAGAATGCATATAAACAAATTAAACAGAAAATAATTTAATATAGAAATCTAATAATAGATCAGATAGATTAGGTTCATGATATAGACATTTTGTACTACATTAAAGGGGCAGGTGATAAAAATTGAAGATACTTAAATTCTAAATTGTTGGATCAAATTCTAACAATGTCTGCAAAAGGTGAAAATAGAATCTGTGCCCGGTTTATAATCATGTGATGCGGATCGGTAATATTCAATGAACCTGTGCATATTTATGCATGTACATGCATATAATAATAATCTGTGTTACATATAAATTACTGAATTAGTCTATTCAATAAATAAAAGTATTACAGTATTAGTGATAACGACCCATTCAGTGGTATTAGTAGGAACAAAAGATCTTACTAAATACTTTGTGATTTTGATATAACAGCATACTGATCTGTTATTAAACTTATTATCTCGATAAAATAAAATAATATCCTTAGTATTTTCATGATAATATTATAAATGAATCAAGATCAGGTATAGGACTCCAAATTCTATTTAACAATACAGTACGTACAAGCATCGGGCCAAATAAGTGCTGCTGGTTAAAAGCCTTAAAACCATATATATAATCATAGGGCTATTATCTTAGTAGTTTTAGTATAAATTTTCTTATAGACAAAGTAAATAAGTATCTATATTCACTAAAATGGGATGAATAAATACTATAGTGATAGCTTTTTTTGAATAAATTATAAACCATTCCTAAAGCTCTAGATATTACCTGATAAATAGAGCTAAAAATACATCACGCTAATGATTAATAATAGTACAGCCAAACTTAATTAATATCGTTCTGACCCAAATTCTAGATAATCAGACATTTATTCTACTGCCTTAAATAATAGTGGAACTATGAATAATGGTATTGTTAATAATTTTTTATTAATAATATTATTAATTTTAATCATTGTTAAAAATTTTTCTGTCATCACAAAAAATCATAATGAAACTTAAAATTCGAATTTAGAAGATAATGACAAATCTATTCATAAACAACGAAACCATTCCAATACTTAGATATTTTTGATAATTATATATTTATATCATCAAATGTATAAATTAAATAACACCTTTTTAGATAGTTTTGCTTGGTTTATTGCGCACACATTATTAAATAATTTTTTAGTTAATAACTCGACCGAATAGTTAATAATAATTATTAATAATTCAAAAGGTCCCAGCACTAAATTTTAATATAATATATGCCACATGATAAAATAGAACAATTAAAGTAATTAAGGCATAGACTAAATGGCATAAATAGAATCTGTTAGTAAAAGTGGCTTGGCATGAAAATTGTCGCACAAGATATGTATGTCAATGATTAGAATATTCATAATATTGAAAAGAAAAGTTAGTGACCAATCAAAAAAAAAAAAGTAAAATAATACTTATCTTTAGTTTTGTGTGTTGAATCCTGGTAATTAGTTGATCGAAATTATAGTAAGAGATCTAAGGTAATTAATAATGTGATTCATTATAAGTAATTAAAGTTAAAGATAGAATATATAATTAATTACGTAATTGATGTAATTGGTTTGAAGTTTAATTTAGTCAAATATATAGAGAAATTAAGGAAAAAATAGTTACAATTCAGTTTTAAATAATACCAGTAAAATTGACAAAATCCTTAACTTCATGAGAATTTTGTAACTCTATCTCTATCAGCCATTAAACATGTTCGAGGTCATTGAGAATCGCAACATTCATTAATAGGTTTCACCTCTCAATAAAAATTAATTACCTACTATGTACATACAAGCAATTAAATAACTACATACAGTAGAATCTGAATTTAAACTCAGAATCACACAAAATTATGAAACATGTCATTTTTACCTAATAATTGTGTCATAAAATTTTTTTTGTTTTTTTTTTTTTTTTGAAAAAAAAAATACCAGTTGCTATTAATCGTTCTTCTTACAACAATACTTGCAAAAAATTTTCTTGCTAAAATGGAGTTAGATTTAATATTAAACACAACTAAAACAGATGTGCCCAATATTGATATATTGTATACCCTTAATATTTCACAGACCCATCTTACTATTCTGCGTAATGCTCTGCCTCAAAATTATAATTATATTATTGATTCATTTGAAGCAGCTCAACTTTATAACTTTTTGGGCGCACAGGAAGAACCGTTCAAGTTAAAATTCCATATAAATACTTGTACAATTGATAGTACCAAGGCTTGGTTTAATGAGTTTACTAACTTACACAAAGTAACTATGTGAGAGACACAAGGACGAACAATTAAAGGTACATGCTTTCTTCTATCTAAACATTACCATTGCATCTACAGTCATGTGGTAAAATTAAAACAAGGAAAAAAAAGTCATGATCTAAATACTGAAACTGTGGATAATCAAAAAGTAATTAGTACACGTACAAGGGATACTAATTGCACTGCGACACTCAGTTTACAACTACAAAACAAGTATGATACTCATCCATGCATAGTATCCATGTTGTTTCATCATAATCATCCTCTCATATCGGGACATGTTACAGGCTTTCATTCTGTATCTAATGAGACAAAACAAGCATTCTATGAACTTTTTCGTGTTGGGCATAACCCTGCTAGTGTGTATCACACATATTTAGAGAAAATGCAATTGAAATACGAAAATGACGAGGAGATTTTGGCAGATAGGGCTATTTGCCCGTACAAATATGATGTTTATTACCTTGAAAAATTTCTCAATATATCTGTTGGTGCAAAAAATGGAAAAGAGATGTTTAGTCGTTTGGCTAAGAAGGTTACAAAATAAAAAAGGAAGTGCCTGGATACAGCCTTATGTTGCTCCAATGGAGACCGATTCTGGTCAACCATTTATTCTTATCATTTTAACTAATTTAATAAAGTGCTGTCACACTTTACAACAAGCTGAAGAATTAATATTTATGGATACAACAGCAAGTCTTGATGTTCTTAACACGTCATTAACTATTATTTTAACCAGCACACCAGTTGGTGGCTTACCTCTAGCTGTAATACTCATTTCAGATAAAACAACTCAAACTTTCACAAAAGCCTTAAGTATGCTAAGAAATATGTTGCCTTCAGGTGCTTTTGGTGGGCATGGACCTACAATTGGACCGCAAGTTATCATGACTGACGATTGCAATGCAGAAAGAAATGCATTACATTATACTTGGGAAAAAGCAACTTTGCTATTGTATGTTTTTCATTTTTTGCAAGCGGCATGGAGGTGGTTGTGGGACGGCAAACATGGTATCAATATTGTTGATTGTGTTACCCTTATTGAGCATTTAAAAAAGATTATTTTTTCTAAGACTGAATTTATGCTAGAAAAAGAACATATGTTACTTATAACTAGTGAAACATACCTTAAATATCCTCAATTTCAAAAGTATTTTGATGTAGCATGGAATAGGCGTAAAGAATGGGCCATTATATTTCATCACCACTTGCCAATCCGAAATAATAATACGAATAATTTTGCAGAGGCTGGGATTAGGATCATTAAGAACATTGTCTTTAGGAGAATACAGGCATTTAATTTAGTACAAATTTTTAATTTTGTCATTAGTACAATGGATCTTTACTATACTCAAAAATTACTGGCGGTGGCTCATAATAAATTAGATGGTTTTATTGCATTTCATTTTTGACTCTCAGGCTGGAAAGTTGGATTGAAAGAAGATATTGAGATAGTAAATTTAGATTCGATGGTTTTTAAGCATAGGAGTAGTAAAAATAAGGATACATGGTATGTTGTTGACATGTGACTTGGAGTTTGTGAATGTAATCAGATGGGAGCACCATGCAAACACCAAAATTCAATAGCATTCTACTATAATATCTGTGGCTTGAACCAAATACCTACAATGTCAGTAAGCAGTAGATACCATTATGCTTATCTGGCATTGGGTAAAAAATGCAAAGAGATTAACTTTTACACTGATCTTCATCAAGCACAATATGATCAAGAGTTTGTACACACAATAGTAGAATCTGTGTTTGTGCCTGCATCTACATCCTTTACGAATGTTGACAATAATTTAGTTAATAGTGAAGATTACAACGATTATAGTGCTTTAAACAATGAAGATATACTCTCCGAATTTGTGTTCTTAAGTGATAGTGAAAATAATATCGAGAATTATAATAACAAGAATGAAAATGATTTCAATCTCCATCAATCAGCAATAGATAAATTACGTTGGTTTAGCCAGGATCTAGAAAATCTTCTTGAGGAAAAGGATCCCATGTTGGATAAAAGTGTATGTAAATTTGTCAGAAGCTACAAGAAGCGTCATTTAATACAAGACACCCATGTTTGTCCAGCAGTAGTTTCTTTTCTTGAAACCTGTGAATGGAATTCAGGTAAAGTTAATAGCAATAGTTATCAGCATACGGGTAAAAGAATTAATGTGCAAGTTGCTGCAACTACCAGATATAAAAAAGGATTATCTCATGAGCTCAGAAAAATGCCATAAGGGCGACCAAAAAAAAATAAGGAAAATTATTCACATGAAATTGAACAGAAGAAAGAATTAAATTGGTTTATTATGCCTGCTCGATCTAAGAAATTATGTACAAAATGTCTACACAATTTACAGCAGGCTTTGAAAGAAACCCGGCCCAATGGATATTAAGTATAATAATCACTGGTTAAAAAATTTATTATCGCGAAAACTATTAAAATATGAACAATATATTTAATTCTATCTATTAATAGTAATTAAATAAATTGTATCATATTTTGGTAATAATTTTTTTAACTATATTGATCAAATTAATTAATTGCTTCTATATTAAATAGGTTTTAAAGGTTTTATGATATCTAGTACATTTTATCTACTGCAAATCAAAGGCTTTTCAGATTTTTTTTAAAAAAAAATACCCGAGATTCATGTAAAATTTTTACAATTAATCTGACCAGTTTATGTAAATCAATAAATTTTAGTCTAAATAGAATTTCATGTATATAATAGAAAGCAAATAATATGTTTAATGCTATAACGTCCTTAGTTTTATAGTATCAGTTATGAGAGATTATCTACAGTAATATTATGACAGGGTAAAACCTGAGTTGTGAAATAGTAAAATCTGCTTTGTAGATTGGGTTAGGGTAAAATTCATGTTTTGTTATGGTTTTTATTATATAAAAGCGGATTTCACCCTCATGTGATGATCATAGCGGATTTCACTATTTCACAATTCAGGTTTCACCCTGTTGTGTAATATTGATATTAAAAATTACATGCATGTATGTACATGCATAAATATGCACAAGTTTATTGAATATTACCTGATCTACATCACGTGATAATAAACTGAACACAGATTCTATTTTCGCCTGCAAAAGAACTAAGCAATATAGAACATATAGCAAAAAACTTGGCAATAAAAACCTAAACCATATTATACCAAGTAATGTACTACTTTATGGACAAATTCTTAAAGCCTTGAGTCTAGCAAACATAAGTTGGCTCGAAGAAAATGAAATAGACAAATAGGCACAAAGACTTAAACTAATAAATCACAATCCTAAATCAGTAGATTATATTATAAACATAAATAAAGAAGAAATACTCAAAGAAGAGAGAAAAATGAAAGAGATAGAAAAAATAAATGATATTAAAAAAATGCAAACCTCATTAATAAAAAAAAGACATTGAAAAGAAGAAAATGAGAAAGCATTTCAAGGAAAGCCAATCCAAATGATAAATGCAATCATTGGGCAAATGGAAGAGCTTAACCTTAATACATTACAAAACACATAATAAAAAAAAATTTCATTAAGCACAAACTAAGTATCTATGAATAAATCAAATAAAACAGAAGAAACAAGAAAAAAGAAAATTAAAAAAGACACAGAGGCACCAAGAAATTATATTATCTAAGATGTAAAAAAAATTAGAAAATATCAACAAAAAATAATAGAATTAAAAGAAGAAAACATGACCTATAGAAATCTGACTCTTATCGACACAATTGAGCATAGCCAATAGTTATCAAAAAATAGAGTATGTAACAAAAACAAGTCCTTCAAGACAAACATGCTAGCATATATTCTTTCAGAAGAATCAAATGATGAAAGAATAAAATATATACAATAGATTTTGAACAAAAACCATCATATTAAAGCAATTAAAGAAGTTTTTAAGAACAGAAATAACTGGATAGAGGTAGACTTTAATTGTGAACATAGTCAAGATGCAGCAATAAACAGAATTTAAGAAAAGAAAGGTGAATGGCTTAAACTTATCCCAGAAAAGAAGAAAAGCAAAGAACCAAAACTAGAATAGCAAATCAACAACAACAATAGGAAAGAGAAAGAAAGACACAACAACCAACTAAAAAGAGAAGAATCTAAAAGAAAAGAAAACTTGCCTATAGCAGAAAATAAAATGAACTTACATAAAAATTTTACAATATAGGACTTATCAGTGAACATTAACACAAAGGAAATCAAGTATATGTGCAAAAGTTTCAAGAAGGCACAAGTAATACACATTAAGAGATCTAAACACAAGGCATTAGCAGTAGTTTAAGTAGATCAACTTGCTGATAAGAACATTCTATGGACTTTACCAATTAGTGTTTATAAGTTGGCAAGAGTAACCAAAGGCAATGAAGATTACACCAAATGTGATCTTCAAAGCATGTTTACAACAAGATTAACAGGGCTCTCAGGCAATGCTTCAGAAGTTTTATTACTATGCTGTTTAGTATAAATACCATCTAATAGAAACAAAAACCAAAAAAGAGCAGCAACAATCACTTTTGCATCAGATGAAGAAATAGAAATAGCACAATCTAAACCAATCTAAACCAATAAGATTTAATAATTACCTTCTATTTTGGAAGAACTTTCAAAAAAAGTGGAATAAGAAGAAAGAAGAAGGTAATAGTCAAAGTCATCTAAACACAGAAGATAGGTATATTGATATAAATAAAGAAAAGCAAAAAGTTGACAAAAAGAAATGATCAAAAATGAAAACAATAAAAACAGGATAACAGTCAAATAAAACAAAAAGAAAAGATAATTCCAAACCACAAATGCAAGACCTGCTTCAAAAAATCTTAGAAAGATTAGACAGACTTGAAGTTCAACAAGGCAAGCCAATAGAAAAAATGCAGTTGGGAACAGGTCCAGCTGATCGCTTCTAAGGTTTCCTGCAAAGAGAAAGAGAAATATTTGAGAAAAGTATAACAACTCCTCACCAAAAAAAGAAGAAAGCCAAAGAAGAAAAAGGAAAAGCAGAAAACATAGAAACAGAACAAAACCAACTAAGAAAAAAGTAGAAAAAGAGAAAAAAAAAGATAAAAATAGCATGTCATAATATTAACAGATTAAAAACCAAAGGATGAAAGTTTAAAAATCTGCTCAGCTAGGCAGAAGAAGAGGAAATCTCAATACTAGAAGTTATAAAAACAAATCTTACAGAAAGAGAAGAAAAATTCCTAACATACAAGACAACCAAAAGATATATTGGGTTTTGGAGTAATACAGTAGCAGACAAGAAAAAAGAATCAGTTATAGAAATTTTGATAGAAGAACTCTAGAAAAAACATGTAGGTGCAGTAAAGAGGATAAATGAATATATGATAGAAATCACATTATACTTTATATGATAGAAATCACATTATACTTTAAATAATTGAAGTTAATAGTAATAGAAGTGTATATACTGCTAAATAACAAAGAAGTAGAAAAATTATCCAACAAAAAATAGATAACATTATTATGAGAAAAGAAAAACAAATGCAATTTGTTATTATAGAGAACTTTAACCATACTGTGAACAATGAATTAAATAGGAAAAACCCACAAGCTGCAAGTTTCAAAAGACTACCAATATTTAATTAGATAAGACAACAAAACTTTTATAATACATACAGATAAATGCATCTAGCAGAACAAAGATATTTATAGTTAAATGCATACAAAGAGCAGAAATTGAAGACATAGATAGCAGAAATATGGGTTAAACACATGATAGCAAAAAGCAGCAAGGCAAATGTTAAAAGAAAGAG